AGCTTTGTGGTGTATGGGGTAGATGTTTAGCTCCCTTTTCTACGCGGTGGGTGCACTGGTGCTAGCTGATGTGTGCATAGTATCGGGGTTTGTGTTGGGGGGGGGGGGGGTTGGGTGTTCAAGTGATTTTTCACTTCAGGTGGGTGCACGACTGCCGGTTGATGTGTGCATATTGCGTAGTTTTGTGTGTAGTGTGTTTTCTTGGGTACATATGAGTGTTTGTGGTTGTGTTACAGCTAAGAAATCCAGGCCCGCACAATCTGATGCGGGTCCTTCTGGAGTGTCTGATGGTGATAGTGACTTCGTGGAGCTACCGCCTAGGGTGCTACATTCCAGGGTTGTGCCAGGGTCACCACAGGAGGATGTCCCTGAGTATGAGCTGACCGCTGAGGAGGATGCTATGTATCCTAGGGCGAAGATGAGGGGGCAAACCGTGATTTTGGTGAACGCCTTGAAGGATCTGAGCTTTCAACAGAAGGCTGACATTCGGGACCTTGGGTTTGGGGCGTTGCTTGACTTCCAGGTTGAGGATGTGCCACCGCGGCTGTTGCGATGGTTGTTGTTTAATTTTGATTCGCAGTCAAAGTCATTTCATCTTGGGGGTGGGAGGTCATTGGTTGTAGATGAGAGCGACGTCGAGTTGATTTTGGGGTTTCCACGTGGGTGTGTTAAGATGGTCCAACGGGATAAGCTTAAGGTTAGCAACATCCTCAAACATTGGAGGGGTCTGTTTCAGAAGCCGAAGCACAGGATCACTGCGTCGGAGATTAGTGAGAGGATGGTTGGTGAGGTCGATGGTGGTCGGTGGTTTAAGCGCCATTTCCTTATGTTAGTGTTGTCGTCCCTGGTGTGTTGTATGTGTAACGGGTACTCGAACCAGATGTATTTCCATCATTTTGAAGATGTGTCAAGTGTTCGTGACTTAGATTGGTGCCAGCTTGTGGTGGACACTTTGGTTGAGACGCAGGATGCGTGGCGTTCTGGTCGGCATAAGTTCTTTCTGGGGCCGGCTGAGTTCATTACGGTATTGTTGTTATTCTTTTCTCACTCCATGTTTTGTATGGTCTTTTATTAATTCCAACTAATATCGTAATATTTTCTCTTGTATTTTTTGGGTGTTTTTCTAGTTGTTGTATGTAGATCGGGTTGTGCATGGAGTGCGCGTTGTCCCTCGGTCTGTACCTGGTCTTCGTGGGTGGTCGTCACCCTTATTACGTCAACGCGAGTTGTCTGAGATTCGGGGTGGGGGGTTTGGCCTTGGTGCCATTGAGGTCCCGGGGCAGGTTGGTGGTGCGGGGATTGAAGGCGATAATGTGCTGCCTGTGCAGTATGGCCCCATGGTATGTGGGGGTTTTTTGTTCCAATATTTCAGTTTATTTTTTTAAGTGTGCACAGAGCTTGTGTTGCATGTGCACCCACCATTGAACCCGTGTATTTGTGCTTGTGCTCCGCGCTTATATGTTTTTGTTGTTGCCTTTTTGTTGGGTTAGGCATTTGGTGATGTTGTAATTCAGACAACAATGAAGATAGCGACAGAGGTTGCAGAGTTGGTGAAGCTAGGGCCGGATGGTGCTTTTGGTGGCGATGTGCTACGAGGGGTGTTTGATGCCATCAAGTTGCTTCGGGTGGGCAATGTAAATCACCGTGACGCTGGTGGATCCGATGATATGCCATCCTTCAGTTTGGGTATTACGCAGGATATAGCGGATCATGGTTGTGGTGATATTGAGGCTGTGTTACGGGATTTAGTCCCGGCGAATACTGGGTGTCCTGATTCTAATGTGGAGGTCAGTTTTCCAAGTTTGCTTGCTTTCTGTTTCTAAGTCTGTTTGGCTGGATCACGTGCACTCGTGCACTATATGTGTGAATTTGCGTTATTAGTTACATTATGTGCGTTTCGAATTCTCTAGTTTAGTCTATTTTTGGTGTTTTTTGGTCATTGTTTTTGTGTTTTTTTGGTGTCATAGGGTGGTCATGGTAATGTGTCTGGTGGTGATGGGGTTGTGGGTGTTGTTGCTGGTGCGGTTTTCGATGTCGGTGTTTCAAATGGTGGGGAGTCTGGGGTTGGTTCAAAGGCTGCTTGCCCGGAGGTGACTGAAGAACCTACGCATGCTGTTCATCCGGTTGTTACTCCTGTGGCGTTGCGTCCGGTACGTATGATGGGTTGTACTCAGTTAGTTATGAATATGTTTCAATTTGTTATTCTAAACATGTGGGTTCCTCTCGGCTTTGTGAGCATCCTTGTACTAACGTTGCTGCATGATGCCTGTGGGCCTTATTTAGTTTGTTTATTTGTCCCATGTGTGCATGCCCGGTTTTTGCAGTGTGCATGCCCGGTTCTTTGAGTTGTTGAATTGGCTTTGTTTTTGCGTGCAGCCATTATTACCGGCGCAGGGGGCGTGTGGGGGTCGGTCTGCTGGGCGTGTGTGTCAGGCACCTTTGAAACCTAGTCGGGGGGGTGTTCGGCCGCCGGGTTGTTCTCCTCCGAGGCTGGCGCGCCTAGATATTGGCGCGTCCGGGTCCAACAGCGCTGTGGCTTTGCCCGACTTGGACAGTCCGGACGAAGCGGTAATTTGCAACTGGTTGTTGTGTGCAGCAGATGCGAAAATGTTAGTTTCAGAATCTTTTTGTGCATATGCGTTGTCTGTTTGGACAGTTGGTTGATATGTGTGTTTTATTTGCATTGATATGTTTTAGGGATGATATTCTGTTCGATGTTAGTGGTAGGGCTGCGCGATGGGGGGACTTGTTGTCGCTGGCACCTGGGTCGTTGGTTGAGGTTGCCATGGTAGATGCATGGGCGTGTCTTTTGAATTGTCGGGAGCGGTATAAGGCCCCTTCTGCCCCTTCACGTTTTTTTGCATCCACTCTTTCCACGGTTTGTTTCCGCACTTTCCCCTTATGATATGCGCCTTTTTCATGTTTATGTTTTTTGATTTTGTATATTTTGTTTTTCTTAAAGCTTCATACTGTTGTGGATACCTCGATTGATTTGGATAAGCGGATTGCTATGTTTAAGGACAGTCTTCACGGGGAGTTTGAGATGACGCCTTACCAGTATATTAATAAAGTTGACTTGGTATGTATTAATTTTTTTTTTCCGGTTGCTCACTAGTCGTTGGTTCTAATATGTGCACGCGGTGTTTCTCTTATGTGTAGCCAATGAGTCAATGGTGTTCTAGAAATGTGTAGACTAGTTTTCCTATAAAATCTAATATGCCCAGAAGTAAAAATGGTAAACTCACTTGGTCTGGTTGTTGCTGTACGTATATTGTTCCATAGCTTAGCCTGTGCACCCTATGATTGCCTATTGCGCACACCTTTGGGTCTTTTGTTTACATTTTGTTGTGGGATGGTTTTATTGTATTCAGTGTATTTTTTTCACCCGCTCGCGGTTGTTGTCTACAGTTTATGTTCCCCATCCTACGCCAGGGCCACTACTTCCTTTTATGCATTGATTTTCGTAATATTCGATTTGAGATTATTGACAATTCGACGCTTCAGTCCAACAAGCAGTTGAAGTATGGTGATTGTCTGGATGAATTGGTATGGTTTTTGTTGTGCTTGTGTCCGACTTTTTATTTTTTTTTTTTATGTTTGGTATTCATTATGCCCATTTTTAATTCTGTTGCAGTTGTTCATGCTTGTGGAATTCTTTAAATGCATTGATCCGGATAGGTCCACGCTGTGTGCGCTTTTGGACTCGAAGCGCATGCAGATGAGTTGGCGCGATGGACAGAATAAGGTTGACTGTGGTGTGTATGTTATGCGGCACATGGAGAGTTATTTAGGTCAGGGCGTGACTAAATGGAGGTGTGGGCTTACCAAAGGTAACGCGGTGCAGCTAAAGAAGTTGAGGTTACGCTACATGAAGGAGCTTGCAACGTCTGAGTTCAATTTGCACAAGTGTCGGAATATCTCCAGGGCGTATCAGTTTGTGAACTCGATCGCGGGGACCATGTAGTGTTCTTTGCTGCGCGGGGCGTATAGAGTTTAAGTTGGTTTCTTTTGTGGGGTTTGATCTATGGCGTCTTCTTTTTGTGTATAATTTTTGGCTGGTTGGTGTTACCGATTTTAATTATGGATTGTGCATATTTTATTTATGGTTTCTGAATGCCGGGACACAGTTGATGCATTTCAGTTATGGGATATTATCATGTTTATTTTAATGCTACTTGGTAGTTTACTATTCGCTCATTCAGGCTAGCTAATGGTAATGTACGTGTGCACTGTACGGGTTGGCAGTGTGCACGATTGAATTCATTTCTCAAGTACAGTACTAGTTGTTCATAGGCAATTGGGGTGACTGATTTTAGTTTGCATGCATTTCAAATTTAATGCATCTCATGTTGGTGGGTAATTCACTATTACCTTGTATGCCAAGTAATAAAATGTGGGTGTGCTACCGCATATGCTTTTATGGTGGGGTCAAAATTAATACTCTGGCCAATATTTAATCGGAATGCAATTTGAGATCGTTTTTGTTGCTAGTAACTAGTTCACGGTTAGTGTGTTGGCGATTTTGAACAAATCTGGGTGCGCTTTATGGTTCGGCATTGGCGATTTTGAACAAATCTGGGTGCGCTTTATGGTTCGGCAGGGTGCATGGTTAGCGTGTAGTCTAATTTGAACAAATCTGTGTGCGCATGAATTGTAGGGTGTGCATGGGGTAATTATCATGTTAATTTTGATGCTAGTTGGTACTGTACTATTCGCTGGACCAGGCTTTTAAATGATCTCCGATGTGTGCACTGTACTGTTTGGCGGGGTGCATGGTACAATCGTGTAGTATAATTTGAACAAGTATGTGTGCACATGAATTGTAGACAGTGTGCATTGCTGATCATCTAAAATATTTCACTAATACTGTTGCCGTGTAGGCTAATTAATAAAACCTACACGCTGCACAGAAATGATAGACGGTGTGCATAGCTGAACAAACTAAATCCAAATGGTGGGTAAGAATAAAAATTTTGACAAGTATTTAATTCCTAGTGTTTTTAACTACGGTGGGCTACTTGTGTGGTAGCTCTTTTTCTTTCTGGGCAATTCCTGCTGTCGTGGCCTGGCCGGTCACAGGTAGCGCATGTCCTCACCCTTTTTTTGCTTTTTTCGATTGCTTTCTCTTTGTTACTCTTCAATCTTTTCCCACTACCTTTGTTCTTTGCAACGCTGGGTGGCTTGATTTGGATCTCGGCAGGTGCACTAGCATTTAGTATTGTTTCTATCACTGATGGTGGGGTGGTGTTTGGTTTTGTATGTTGCCTTGCACTTTTTAACCTTTCTTTAAGCTCTTGCATTGTCGACAACATTAGATCCATTTCGTCTGGGCATCCATTGGCCAAACCCATGCATTTGTAGAACTCGTTCCAAAGTTGGTTGGCCATTGTTCTTAATTCGTTCCCACCTTGCGTAGTATTGGGCGCTTTCCAGACGACATTGTACATTGGCTGTGCACATGCATTCTTCGTCCAACGGGCTACAATATACCTACTTGGTATTTCTTCCACGCCTTCGTTCTTGAATACGGCCAATACATGCTTGCATAAAATTCCTACCCTGTTGAATTTGTTGCAATTGCATTCTGTTTTTTGAGTAGCTTCTTCGTGCGTTACCTCAAACATTTTTTCCCCTGTCGCGTGTACACTGTACTTCTGATCTCCATTGTCATTCGTCTTGCAAGTGATTCTGCATCTGAAGCTTCCGTCCCATATTTCTTCCTGGAAGTCGTAGAATATGTTCTTGGTGTACATTGCAGCAGCTTGGCGCTCTACAGCCAATGGGGTTTTGGTTGTAGGGAATGAACTTTCGCCCTCCGCGTTCAATTTTTTTTGTCCGTGCCTCTGTTCTCCTATGGCGCGGTTGTATTGCATTAGGAATTCTACCAAGCTGTTGTAGTGATTGGTGAATTTGCCGAAATAACTGTTCTCTGATTCTGAACGCGACGTTGTCTTTAGGAGTCCTCCCATGAATATATCTTGGAAATACGCTGGTATCCAGGATTCACGTGCCTTGTACATTTGTTCGAACCACCGATGTTCAACAAGGTTGTACTCTTTCATTACCTCTGCCCATTTCAATTCAAATTCTGGTGCACTTAAAGTTTCATCCCATACTATGTTGTTCAGTGCTTTCCTAAATTCCATGTTTTTTGCTAGTGCAATCCCTGCTTTGTCCCCCACTTTTTCCATGATGTGCCACATGCAGAATCGGTGCCTTGTTTCAGGCATAATGTTAGGTACAGCGATCTTTAATGCAGGGTCTTGATCTGTAATAACACATCTTGGTATATAGCCCATTGCATTTTTGAAATTTTTAAGTAACCACTCGTATGACTCCACATCCTCTCTTGCAATGAGCCCTGACCCAAATGTAATGCTTCGTTTATGGTTGTCGACGCCTGTAAACGGTACGAACACGAGTTTGTACCTGCATGGGGTAAGTGGAGATTTGTAATTAGTGCACACACATGTTATAGTAATAATAGAGTTGCATTTAGAAATATGTAACAGTAGCAAACCTGTAGATTCCTAATGAGCGTTAGTAATGATATGCACCCAGTATTTAGGGGTCGTGCACCCATATCATACTTAAAATTACTAACATAAATTACCCTATACCCTAGCTGCTAGTGGGTTCAATTTAAACTAGTGCGGCATACCCATGCATACACTGTGTACTCGCTCTGCATGCAGGAGTTAAGGGGATTTTTATTTATTTATTTATTTTTTTTTGTAAAACAATCTCATATAATTCACTAGTATATTACCCCTGTGAACAGAAGCTCAAGGTCCTACCATGCTTACAGTCTTGACCAGCCATGCATGCATGTGTTTAGACAATATTAACGTGTAATGTAATACATATTAATATTAAAATCAACTATTTTAATCCTTGTGGGGTGTACCTGTTTGTGCTGTACGTTGCGTCGAATGACATCACATCTCCAAAACAGGCAAAATTCTTCCGGGATATCGTGTCTGCCCAAAACAGCCTGCATAGTTCCCTGTCTTCGTTGAGATCAAAATCAAAGTAGAAGTCTGGTTCCATCTCTTTGTTTTTGTACATGTCTTCTACCACCATTTGTGCATCTGCTCCAGCTATATAAGCCAACAAGTCCCTCCTAAAATTGCAGAAATCGGTGGATGTTGCTCCTATGTCCGTAAAACTGCCAACCATTTCTTTGTATAGTCTCCATGATTTTGTTGAACCAATGTTTGCTCTTGCGCAGTTTGCTACGAAAATTTTGTGTCCAATATCCAGCTGCCTGTTTATTTTCAGAAATTGTTTTCCAATGTCAGAGCATAGGCAGTGTCTGTGCCATAGCTCGAGTGCATGGATTTTGTAGGTACCGCTTTTGCGCCTTGTGAACGCGATTCGGGCGTTACAACCCACTCGGTTTGACAGTCGGCGCCGTTTCCTTGGTTCTGTGTTGTTTCCTTTGTCCATCACCACGTTACTTCCCTTTTTTCTTGGTGTGTATCCTTCCCGTGAGCATAAAATGTATTTTATGTGAACTACCCCTTCCTTGTTGAACCTCTTTGTGCCGTTCCTGATATCGAATCCAGCAATGGATGCGTATGCTTGGTAGAAGTCTATTCCGTCGTCCAGTGTTGCAAATTCTTGCCCTACATACGGTGTGCTTTCACTCTTGCAGTTAGGTAGCCATTGTTTTGTTCCATCGGGTAATACGCCCAGGTTGCATTCCGTTCCGGTGCCTTCACCATGTTGTTCGCCTGTATTTCAAATTTGTGTTATGCGCGAATATAAGTACTATTGTGGTATGTGTGTGGATAAACTGTACGGAGAGAGTACGGTGTGCATGCGTGTATGTCTCTGGGTGCATGCATATCACTGCTATAAACGAAGCCTACCCCCACCCCGTATTCTCCCCATACCTTTTTTTTTTCCAGTTTTGTATTACATATATTCAACGAACCAATTCATAGATTAGAGGATGTGTTGAACCTAATATTATTTGTTTTTTTGTCCCCTTTTTGCAGGAATGTATTCACAGAATTCAATATTCTATCCTACCATGCACTACTTATAAGCACCAAACATTAATATACAGACATTGGATTGCATGCTGTTGTTCCGCAATAAGAAATCGTTGAATATTCAAATAAACGGTGTTCTTACCCGGGGGTGCATCATCCATGGGGTCGGGGTTGGCGTGGAGATTTCGGATGTTTGCGTCGTCGATGGAGTCGGGATCGGCGTCGCGGTTTCTCACATTTGTGTCGTCGATGGAGTCGGGTCTGGCGTCCATGATTGGGCGTTGGGGCAATTTTCTCTCTCCAAGAAATTGTTTGCGTTGTACGTGGAGTGTTCTAATTCTACCGTTATTGCAACCCCTTAATTATAGGAGTTTGTAGAGATGCGACTCCTTCCGCTGGTTACGTGTGTGTCTGCAATCACCATTTTGCCCTTGTGCTTATAAGTTGGCAATCCGTGTGTCTATTGAGGGAATGCATCTAATCCGTTCATCTTAGCAAATCTAATGGTTCTTTTTTGTCCGCACTGTTTGTATTTTAAGGTAGTTTGCATGTGAATGCAACCCTATATATATATATATATATATATATATATATATATATATATATATATATATATATATATATATGAAAAAGTTTCAATGTGGCGGCATCCTCCCGTGCGGCGGTTTTCAGAATACATCAATAGTGTTAACAATATGCATCAATAGTGTAAAAGAAACACACAACAATGAAATGTAAAAAACACATCAAAAATACACACCACACCCAAAAAAATACACCATATAACCCCTACCACTAATGGTGTATTTTCGAACACTTTGTGGTGCTTTTTGTCATACCTAATGGTGTGCTTTTGGTGATACATACCTAATTTGTGTGTGTTTTTGTAGTGCATTTACTAACGTTGATGGTGTATATTTGCAATTTGCATAACTCCCTGACTGCACGAGAAGACCCCGCCACACCTGAACTCGACTCTCTCTCTCTCTCTCTATATATATATATATATACATATATATATATATATATATATATATATATATATATATATATATATATATATATATATATATATATATATATATATTACAAGGGCTATATATAAGGGTGCGGTGGAGAGAGAGAGGGGGGTAACTGCCCCACTGTGGATCCGTCCTTGAATGACATGATTGTCTCGTATCTCGTACATATAGTGGACTAATGTTTGCTAGTGTGTTATTTTTTTCTCTTCTAGATTGATAATTAAGCATACTTGATGACCTAGTATAAGTAAGGAAATAAGTGTGCGGTATTCCACCACATTGAGATAATAAGGATGTTGTGAGCTATTCAATAATCTTAAACAATAATAACTATGAAAGAATTTTATATTTGCATGATATTTGTAATAGAAGGTTCATTAGAACTTTTCATTTTTTTTTAACTAAAACACTCAATCATTAATTGACTTTGATGAACAGGTTAGATTAGTTCTTACTTTTTATAAAATGGATTGTCTCATTTGAACCCATCTCTCTCTCTCTCTCTCTCTCTCTATATATATATATATATATATATATATATATATATATATATATATATATATATAGGGACGCACTCAGGTGCGAATAAGTGCCCAGGAAGGAAATGCGAACGAATCAGCGCATGACACGTGTCCAGATCTAATAACTTAAAAAAAAAACGCGGTGACATTTTCGTAAATAATTGAAAATCGAAGTGCAAGTAAAATATCTTATAAGTGCACCTATTTTCACCTATAAGTGCATGTAATTTTGCCTAGTTAGCATTCACTTTCCGCAACCATTCATGCACCTGGGTGTGCTTATGACTATATGTGCAACTATTTATAACTATAGGTGCAACTACTTATAACTATGTGTGCACCTACTTTCACCTATAAGTGCATGTAATTTTGTCTTGTTAACATTCATTGATCTGAGTTCAGCGGGTTGTAATACTCCTGAAAACCACTCGCAAACATTCATACACCTAGATGCAACTACTTATACCTATGTGCGCAACTACTTAGAACTATAGGTGCAACTACTTAGAACTATAAGTGCAACTAAGTATTGATGCTCAGTGTAAATTTTTACTTGCACCTATAATACATTTTACATGCACTTGTAATACATTTTACTTGCACTTCGATGTTCAATTATTTACGAAAATGCCACCGCATTTTTTAAAAAAATCAGTGTTTTCTCATCCATTAGATCTGGACACGTGGACGAACAGAATCCATTCCTATTTCGCGCCTGGGCGAGCCGTTCGCACCCGAGTGCAACTCTATATATATATATATATATATATATATATATATAGAGTGATTTACACGTAAAAAATTTTACAAAAAAAGGAATTTTTGATTTCAATTATCTCTCTCGTGCCTAAGGGACAAATTAGAGATCGGGCCGTTTACTAGTTAGCAAGACCATTGAACCTCACCAATGCTATTCACAATATAAGGGTAAACCAATGAAAAATTGTTTGATACTTCCATTGTGTATATATGTTTTTATAACACATAATCGAACTACAACTCATTCAACCCCATGCCTTGTTTTAACTGACTCATGCAAATTTTGCTCATTTTTTCATACCCGCGGTCTTCTCATGTCCTTTAAAGCCTTCATGCAATCATTATATCATGGACTATATCATGAACTATAGCCTACCTTACAAGTTGAACTAATTGCATAAAATTCATTTTGATATATGAAAGTTAATTTTAGTACCTTGAATGTTACGTTCACTTTAATGTATTGAAAGTTTATTTTTTTGTATATTATTATGGAATACATAAAAATGAACATTCATTGTATTTTTAATGAACTTTTAGTATACTAAAAAATAACCATTAATCAATGGGTCACACTTGAGTGAGACCGTCTCATAGATCCTTATCCATGAGATGGATCGGGTCAATATGAAAATGTAATACTTATACTAGCAAATATAATACTAAAGCATGAATAAAATATTTGTTACTTATAAGGAAAAACATAATACTTTTGAGGGAAAATGTAATAATTTTATATTTTGATGTAAAAGTGTTACTTTTTTCATCAAAAGTATTATATTTTCCCTTATAAGTAATGTTACACTTATAAAGGAAAATGTAATACTTTTACATCGAAATGTAAAAGTATTGCACTTTTCTTCAAAAATATTACATTTTTTTTTCATTTAAGTAATAAATATTTTATTCTGATTTAGTATTACATTTCAAGTATTACATTTTATCTTGACCCGACCCGTCTCACGGACAAAAATCTGTGAGACGATCTCACAGAAGTGTTTGCCTTAATCAATGATCAACAATATAATTTTTCGCGTTCATGCCCCTACCATTTTCACAAGACTCAGCTCACTTCACTCCTCTAACTTGATTCATTCTAGCTATTTCCAAGCTTGTTGTTTGGATCAATCCATGCACTAAGCTCAACATTTCGAAATATTTGGACTCATTAATAGGATTGATATTTTAACACGTACTATATACAAAAGGGTGTTTAACAATTAGTTTATAGGGTTAATTATGTTACCGGATAGTTGATAGCCAATTTTATTAATTGTTTTAACTAAGAGTAAAAGATATTTTTTGTCCTATACTTATAGTGTCACGGACAATTTTAATCCTCCATAATAAAATTTGTCATTTTATGGACATACTTATTGTGACGAGGAAAATTTTAGTCCTCCGTCCGTAATTCTGTTAAATGACCGTGTAAGTGAGGGGTAATTGTGTCATTTCAGCCTATCTCCCTTACCACTTCCCCCATTGAAGGCCTCTCTGCTGTAGATTCTCCTACACAAATCATAGCCAAGTTGATAAACTTTTGCAGGCTAGCGGGAACAACCCACACCCTCCGGCGTGCCATCAGAAGCCCCTGCACCAACAATATCAGTAATTAACGATGGTACCTGGACAGAAACCTGGGCATTGATGTTCTCCTCCGGGCAAGCAGTCTGAAGAACACCATCGGTGCAAGCCTCCGTCCCAACCTCCAGTTTCTTCGAGCTCAAGGAGCAATAAACAGTTACGTGTCTTATGCTCCCACAATGAGTGCAGAATAGAGGAAGGTTTTCAAAGGAGATAGCCTGCTCAAACCAACTCCCGTTCGGAAGATTAACGTCAATATGATCAGGCTGGTCAACAGAGCAGTCAACGTCTACCAAAATCCTCGCAAACGCAAGCTTCTTCCTTTCTTTAGTGCACCAATCCATGTACAGAGGCACCCCAATGCACTCTGTGATTTTACTAAGGGCATTGACGTGCCAACAAGGCTTAGGTAAACCAGGTAACCTCACCCAAACCGGCGAGAAACGGAATTCATCGTACCCCGGCCGGAAGTCAGCCGGAGGAATACGCAGAAATAAGCATTTGCCGAAGAGAGAGTAAGGGCCACCGGAAAGAACAGTGTTTCTATCAACCTCCTTCTTGAACCAGAACATCACATGGTCGTTAAGAAGGGCTTCCGGTTTACAGTTTACTCTCCAAGACTCTGCCAAGCCAATAGTAGCAAGCATACCCGGAAAATGACCGGCAAACCTTCTAAGAAGGCTGATAACTCTCTCGTCCTCAATCTCAAAGATATCATCAATTCCCAAATCAGCAGCAACCTTGTTCGAACCAAACACCCTCAGCCGGCACTCCTCATTTTCCAGTTTCCGGGAGTTGATGAAGGGCCCGGGAGGGGGGTTGACCGGCTTAGGGACATTGTATTTCACCCCGAAGCTACCAATCCCGCGGCTAGCATCGGGGAAGGAATCCTGCGAACCGAGTGTACGAGGCACCGACGGCTCCAGTGACTGGGTGGCAGTCTTCTTCCCTTTTCCGGCCATAACACACACCGGAGGCAGCCGCACACTGGAAAATGCAGATCGAACGAAACAGAAAATACCTGGAAAGTCGAATCCAAGAGTCGGCGTCGCACAGGTTGACGCAACCGTCGGAGAACACAAGCTTGTTTTATTCGCCGGAGAGCTTTGTTTTATTCACCGGAGAACACAAGCTTGTTTTATGACGCAATTACCCCTCACTTACACGGTCATTTAACAGAATTCTGGACGGAGGACCAAAAATGTCCTCGTCATAATAAGTCTGTCTATAAAATGGCAAATTTTTTTATAGAAGATCAAAATTGTCCGTGCCACTATAAGTATAGGACCAAAAATGTCTTTTACTCTTTTAACTAATTAATAGTATTAGCGGTTTTTGGGTCTTGGATGGGTTTTTCGGGATGACAATGGCGTGTTCCTAGTTGCG